AATAGTGTAGCTAGTGTTATAGAAAGATTTATAGTATTAATAGCTCTAGAGCAAAAAATAGAGGAATTAGAGGATAGGTTATAGGATAAATATATTACTAAGCTATAGGACGCGTTAAATTTAGATAATAATGTTAGATATATAGTAAATAATATAGTAATATTAGATACGCGTTAAATACGCAGTAAATAAGGTAATAATATTAGAGCTAAACCTATAGAAAAAGTTAAATACTACCTAATATATAAATCCTATTATAATTAACTATAATATTACCCCTACTAGGTTAGCTTAACAAGCTTAATTTAATAATACTAATATTATAGCGTGCATGCTAGTAAAAATAGTGTAGAATAGGGTATAGAGTCTAGGATAGTACACTACTAGTTTAAGCACAGGCTATAGTTAGGTAAATAGCTAGCGCTAGTAACTAGAAAAAATCTATATACTAGAAAAAAACAATAACACCTAAAATCTACCTTACCTACCTGCGTCCTACCTACTATTAGTAACTTATAGTTTTATAAACTTTATTATATACTTTAATTATATTCTAACCATAATAGAGCCTACTTATATTAAGTAAGAGCCCTCTATTAATTTAGATAGCACTATTTCTCTAGTACCTAAGGGCCCTCTTTCCCCTACTAAGTATAACATACCTAATAGATTTAAGGTAGTAGAATAGGAAAGTCTAATAAATATAATTATCCTATTATATTATTATAGTAGTAGCTATTTTAACTAGGGATTTACCTCTAAATAGTAAGAGATCTAGGCTATAATTAAGTAGCGCAGTTAAGGTAGGTCTTAAAGGGGTAGACCTACGTATATATTAGTTCTATATAAGGGTCCCTTAAGTAATACTATATATACTATATAGTAGAGAGATTATATAGCGCTTTAAGATTAGGAGGTAAAGGAAATTAAGGCTATAAATATATTAGACTATATAGTATAATCCTAGCTTAAGAAGAAGATTAAAAAATTAGAGTAATATATACGCCTTAGTAAAAAGCACAAGTAGTAGTTTCTAGTAGAACGCTAGGAGTAACTAAATTAGAAGAGATATAATAAGAAGAAAAGCTATATATTAGTATAGTAGATTATTATATACCTATACTAATAATTAGTAGGTAAGTAGCTATAGACTACCTTAGATATTATCTATAAAAAGTAGGCTAATATTAATTATTAAACTACACTTAGAGGCTACTAGAATTCTATTAAGGACGTGTAATATACTAAGGGAAAGTCTAGTAAAGAATTAACTATAAGCTATATATTTACTTAGGTATAGAGCTCTAGTAGAATTCTTTATAAAATAATACGCAAAATCTATTAAGATAGATTAGTTAACCTTATAAATAATACTTTTAAGAATAAGGAGGTAAGAGATAGTTAGTAAGAGTTTATTAGTAGTCTTATAAAGGATAAGCTATAGATAGTAATAGCTAAAGAGAAGTAGTAAGTTTATTATAGCCCTTTATTATATAAATATACTAATAGTACTAGGTAATAGGAACTTACACTAATTTAGGGTATTAACAAGGATACTGCTGTTAATTATAGCAACTAATATATAGTTAGGGGTAATAGTGAATATAAGGAGGAAGGTA